TTTGGGGCTACATCTTGTTCCATCCTTCGACTTTGTCTTTTCTCGCCTCTCTGTTTTGGTTTGGGTTTTTCTACCCAGGTACCTTCAGCAATCTTCTTTTCTCGGGTAAGTTTCTTTTTCTGTGCACCTGACAATCTTCTTTTAAGTTTGATCCCACCTATGATATATATATATATATATCTTTTTGGATTTCCTCTTTTTTACTTTCTGACTACTCTCATCCCTGTTACTATAAAGCATTATTTAAATATGTTCAGCTGTTTTTCCAGCAATTAAAACTAATAAATATAGTTAGCCCAATATAGCTCACACAAGAGCACAGTAATTGTTGTTTCATCTTAATATATTGTGTATAATATGTACAAGGAAAAAGATGTGAATTTTCTTTCCAGATTTGAGTGGCAACCCTGATTAAATTTTTAGGAGAAGTTTAGGAATTCTGTTTTTTAGGTATTTCAACAGCATATTTTTTTAAAAGCTTTTTTATCAAAGAAAGTAAAAAAGCTACAGATTAGATTCCTCACTCTTGAGGCAAATTTGCAATTTTGAACTCTGCATACCATCTTACTGTAAGGAATTATCTGGAGCTTTGAATAAAAAAACTTCAATATTTTAAAAGCTGTTGAACTTTTTAAAAATTACCAATTTTTAAAAATTGTTTTGCAAATTATCAAAATCAATGAATAATTCTTAAATTTTAATGAGCCGAGATAATGCAGCAAAACCATATTTTTAAATAAAATTTATATTAGCAAAACTATGTTTTAAATTAAGTAAATCAATTATCATTGAATTATGTTAGTCTGTAAGATATTAAGTGTTTGCATCTCTAAATATTTCTTAACGTATAAAAATGTTTTTATAAATGTGGAAACTTTTGAAAATATATAAAAATGTTTTCTTTCATTAAAAAGTTTGAGGAAACTTTTATTCAACTTATTTTTTTACAAATGTCATATTTATTGAGATGCTTTTTTAAAAATTTCAGAATATACTAATACATTCCCATTCAAGAGTGGTCTATGAAACTTTAATTGCTGCATTTAATGCAAGGAAAAGATTTCATGTCTATGTAACAGAATCAGCACCAGATTTTTCTGGGTAAGTACTTAGATGCTTTTGCAAATAATTTTCACCTTTTTTAATTTTTCTAAATCGTATTACATCCTTAGTTTCCTTTTTTAGAGCACAACTAAAATTTACCATGTTTAATGCTTATTAAATTATATTAATGTTACTCTTTTTAATAGAATATCCCTTAAATTTAAGGATATTAATCTCCTCTTATATGCATATTTGAATGTAGGTAATTTGTTAATTGCTGACAATTTTGTTAGTAAAGTCACTTAATTTCAAAAAGGTTGAAAAGTACATTCTTATCTGCCAATAAAATCATTATAAAGTGAAATAATTTTTTAAAATAGCAAAAAAAACTTTTGTTCATAATTACCATTATATTTAAATTAGGATTTTTTTCTTATATTTATTTATTTTTTGTAGTAAAATGATGTTTGACAAACTAGAGAAAGCAGGATTGTCATGTACGTTAATTCTTGATGCTGCTGTCAGGTATGTTGATCGTAATTTTCTTTGTCAATGAGATTAAAATGTGTCCTGTAAAGTTTGGCTATTTTTAAAAGTTTGAATATAACTATTTTCCAATTCGATAAAAATGTACCAAGTAAATTTTGGCTATTTTTTTAGGTTTAGTAACTTTTGAAATCTTAAATATAATTTTTTTTTTTGCAATAAGATTAAAATATATGCGTTAGGTCTTGGCCACATTTTAAAGACGAAAATAAATTTTTAATTCGAGGATTTTCAACTCCTTTAAGATTTATTCTCAAATGTTACTTTTCAAAGTGTATTTTAACACAAAACCAAGTTTGCCATAACAGTTTGAAACATTGTTTATCTAATTTATTTTGTGCACTCCATTAGTTTTTAGAAATTTTTTTAAGTAATGTGTGAAAAAACTTCGGTAAAGATATCACTTCATTTTTTATATTATTATACCAGTTAAGTAAGGAAGATTTTATGCTGCTTATGCAAAATTCTGTAAGAAGTTAAAATGAACATATCATGCAGTTTCATCATCCTTAAAAACGATGCCTCAAAATGCTTAAAATCAAAATCTTTTTTTTTTTTTTTTTTTTTTAAATTATTGTTATTTAAATTTAGTGGATTCCCTTACATGTTAGGGTTTACAGAAACAAAGTTGCTAACGTCTTTGTCAGGGAAAGTAGCAAATTCCCCACTGGCCCTTCCACCAAACTGAGAACTTCTGAGGTCCACTTCCTGTTTTTGGGTAACATAAATGCCACTTGGAGGACCCCACTCGAATATGCCTGGAATGCCACTGAGTTCCCTAGACTATAATTGCAGTGCTCCCATCCAAGAATTGCTCAGACCACTCTATCTAAACTTAGGACTAGTCACATGAAGAATCTAATTTTTAGCAGAAACGAGAAACTCCCTCTCATATCTTAGATTGTATTGGTGTCTGTGAGGCAGCTGTTGAATGAAGGGGATGCAATTTTTTATTTAATTGTGTGACATAGGCTCCTGAACTTGGTTTAGCTTATCTAAGCTTAGGGAATAAGCAACAGCATTATTCAAATTTAACTGTTCTAAAGTTATTTTTTAAATTTAAACTTTAGATGTTATTGATTTTGCCAGATATAGTGATTAAAATAAGAAAAAGTTATTAGTAATTTTCATTTTGTGCATTAATATAATTTTTACTTTAATTCGAAATGTAAGTTGCAAAATAAAATTAGTTATCTTCATAAAAGTTCCTAAAACTGTTAACCTTATTTTAATAGTTTATTTAGTCTAGTGTGAGTTAAAAAGATATTGATAGTCTGTAGTCATTTAGACAAATTATTTAATTTTGAAAATTTTTTAAATTAAAAAAAAAATAGCCTTTGTATCATTTAAGTCATCCAATTGTAAAATCTGCTAATTTCACTTCTAGAGAAAGATATCAATGTATCAAGTTAATAAGTTTCAATATGAACATATTCTAAATTAAGTTTTTATTAGCCTAATTTTTGAAAGAAAATTCCTAGCTGACATGCATTGTAATATAATAACTAATTATTGTTTTAAAATAAACCAACTCTTTATTGTGTATTGGTAATACATACGTAATATTTTTTAACAAACTGCAGTTCATTGTTCTTTTTATTTAAAAAAAAAATATTATTAATTTACTAAAAAAAATAGTTTTTTGGTTTTTTTAACAAAAACAAATATTTTTGTTTTTCATTCAAAAAAAAAAAAAAATTATTTTTGCAGAAATTATATAAAACGTTAGATGTCAAATCCATGTTTGAAAGTTATAAGTAAAATTTTGCTTTATACTGGTGTTCATTTACCCTGCTTTTGTCACATAGAAATTTCTTTAGAAATATTTATGTTCAATCTACTTTTGTACTTATTTGAGCTTTATTTATTTCTTTATTTTTACATTTCTTTAAAGCTATGTTTTAGAAAAAGTTGACTTAGTTTTCCTTGGAGCTGAGGGAATTGTGGAAAGTGGAGGAATAATAAATAAAGTAAATATGCACATAGAATTATTTCAATTACTCTTATTCAATAACTTTATTTTACTCTTATAATTAGTAGAAAACTTCATAACCTAAAACTTCTGCCTTATCTTAAATTTTATATTTACACAATAAACTGACATTCACAGTTCATAACATATCAGCTGGATTCTGACTATTTCTCAATATAAAATATACATTTGATAAAATTACAAAAAACAAATTTATGACTTATTTTCATTATTTATGGACTTGAAATTAGATTTCTGAAAGTTTTGTCATGGTATAAACTATTAATGTAAACAGCAAACACTCAAAACACATAGTGCATCATTTTGGTTTTAAAGAAATATAAGTTTGATAGTTGGCAGAATATATGAATATAGTTAGTTTTTCATCTTATTTTTATAATTTATCGAATTGAAATAAGATTTCTGAAAACTCTCACATCTTAAACTCTATTAATGTAATCAACGAAAAATCAAAACATACTGTGCATCACATGTGTTAGATGATGGACTAAAAATATTTTAGTTAACATTTAATTTCATGATTTGTAGAATTAAAATAATATTTCTGAAAATTCTGTCTGAAACTCTATTAACGTAACATTTAACCAAAATCCATAGGGTGCCATAAATTTTATTTATAACATAGTGAAATTCCTAAAGCTTCTACCACATAATTTTATATTAACACAAAAACCAAAGCAGAAAATTAGTTGCATGAAATTTCTATTTTAACAATTTTTCTAAAATGTAAATAATTATATTTAGATTATAAATTATTATTCTTTGCCTAATTGATGGGATTAAAATAAAAGTTTTTAAAGCTTTTGTTAAATTTTAATAACAAAATAAGCAATCAAAATCTATCATGAGTAATTTATTTTTAAATAAATAAAAATATGTAATGATATCTTTACTGACCAAAACTTTTAATTGTATATTTCTCTGAGTAGACAATTTAATCATACCTTTTTTATAAAATGTTTATTTTTGTTCTTACTAAACTTCTACAAACGGTTACAGTCTTTTGAACTATATTCTAAATGTTTTCATTTTCATATAGCTTTTCTTAACAATATATATTTTTTTAATGGGAATATTGTGTTTCTTAACAATGTAAAGATATATTTTATTGCTGATTATACTTTTTTTTATTTAAACTTATTTGAAGTGAAAACATATAAATGGGATCTTATGCTTATCAGTTAATTCTTTGTTTATTTTTCTTTCCAGATAGGTACTTATAACATAGCAATTTGTGCAAAGGAACTGAACAAGCCTGTTTATGTTTTAGCTGAAAGTTTTAAATTCTTACGCTTGTATCCTCTGAATCAAAGGGATTTACCCAATGAATTAAAAGTATGTTTTGATCTAAATTAAATTTATTTATTATTTAAAGTAGCACTATACTCTTTTTTCCATATTTCTTTATCAGGATAAGCATTTTTAATATTCTTATAAGGACGAATATGTAGATTTTGTTATTCTTACCTAATTATTTTGCCAAAATTCATACCTGGTGTTCCAATAAAACTGGTCTTCAAAAAAATGCTAGCTTATTTGTATATAATTAAGATCTTAAAATTATAAGTATTTTTTGTATATTAAATCTATAAACATTGGTAAAATATGTAATTGTTTTTCATTTACACATGATTTATCATTCATAAAAATAAATGAAATAGTTTTGTATTTTAATGTTCTATTTTCTGAAACCAAACTAATAAACAAATAGCAATAATTTTATTTTAGCTGGCATTATAGAATAAGAATATTAAGATCACTCAATTGTCTCATATTTTGTATTTTATTTTAAAAGTTTTGTTTAACTATGTGTCATGTTCGATGTTATCAGTGCATATAAAAACATTTCTTAGTAAAATAAATATTTATTATAACCTTTCTTTCAGCATTTATCGGCTAAAGTAAATTCAAAGGAGCATCCACTCGTTGATTACACACCACCAGCCTACATCACATTATTATTTTCAGATTTAGGCATACTTACACCGTCTGTTGTAAGTGATGAACTAATTAAATTGTACATGTGATGCTGTACCTTATTATTGTTTTTTTTTAATTGCTTAGGAAAGTTTTCTAAATAAATATTTGTTTTTAAAAAATGTTTGTTTTTATTTTTCATAACATAATAACAATCAAAAAGTTATTTTTTTTCATATTGCTAGAAATATTATTTATTTGTGAGAGTCCCATTGTAAGACATGACTGGCTGCAGTCAGTGATTACTTTACTTTGATCAGCCTGTGAATAGACAGAGGCCGTGCAGTGTTAGCACTTGTTAGGCTGTTCTACGATGAAGCGCTCAACTTCACATTTGGGTCATCGCGCTACCAAAGCGGAAGAGCCACCCTCTTTGCAGAGGAACAAAATTGCAATGGCATATCAACAAACCATCCTCAGGGATGTTTTACCAGACCCTTAACCATTTGCACATTGTGCTAGTGCAACATGAATATAGTACTACAACTTATTTGAGAGAAGAACTGATTTATTAAAGATAAATAAATCTATGAATTTGATCTTTAAAGAATTAATTGTTATGGTAAACCTCTTGTTTATCAGAAGGAAAAAAAAAAGATGGTTAATCAAAAATAAGTAGCATGCCCCCTTAGTCTTTCAACCTCAACCTTAAAAAGACAACATTATTGTAATTTCCTTTTCTATCCTTAAGAATGTTTAAACATGTTGCACGCATAAGCAAACTTTTAACTCACAACTTATTTACTTTGTTATACAACTTTATTGGTCAACATACCAAAAGTGAGTATACAACCACTGTAGCTGGCATAACATGGTTTCAGTCTTAAAGTTGGTTAAATGTTTTATCAAATTTTTAAATCTTCAACCATGAAGAAATTTTAATTATGGAAAAAGGAGGTATGGGACATATTTTTAAAAGACGAATTCTTTATTCAATCTCAAAATATATTCCAATTCACAGAGACAGTATGTCACTTATGAGTTAATAGTGAATTATAATGTTTGAAAAAGTAAAATAAAACATGCTACTAATTTTGTCACTAAAGATAGCTATTACCAATCTTTAATATCTCTAAATCACATTTCTCAAAAGGATGAAAAAGCTGAAACAATGGTACGTTCCACCTTCTCCTTCTCATAATATTTTAGTAAGAAATTTATTCAAAATTAGATGTGGTCTGTAGGATTAATTTAACTGCTCATTTACAAATTATTATATTGGGTCTACAAAATATTAAAATGAGATTGAAAACTTTCCTCCAGAATATAGTAGTTTATTATCAACATTGAAAAATAACAATAGGTACAGACAATAAGAATGCACCTGCTCTCCCTAGAAATTCAATATAAATTCACATTTTGCTTTTATAATTTTCTGTAACTTGATTAATACATGTCATATAGAAACTGCTTTAATTCATACACTTAGCATAAAAGTTGCATTTATTTTTCAGCAAGTAGTTAAATTTAATGCCTAATATAATATGTAAAAAAAAAATCAAGAAAATTTACTGTTATTTCTATTGTGCTCATATCACTTTTGATTTAAATAAAGATTTTTTTTTTTCAGTTTAAATATTGTTAAAAAATTAAATTTTTCATCAAACTTAGTTAGCTTTAAATAGTGAAACTGCTTGTAAAAAATTCTACTGCACATACATAATTGTATAAAGTGCTTAATTTCTCTATCTTTTAAAAAGACTTTTTCTTTGTTGCGTCGATTGTCGTTCTAAGTTTAAAAAAATGGGTGATTTTCACAATTTTAGCTGCAAAATTTATCAGAAACTAGTTATTTTATGATGATTAAGTAAAGTTTTTGAATTGTATTGATTTTATGTTTATAAGTTAAGAACTTTAAACAATATTGAAAAATAATCTTTATTAATGTACAGATCCTAATTATGACTTTTTTTTTGGAAAGTGATTAAAAATATTTTTGGGTGCTTAAGAACTTATTTTTTGTTGAAAAATTTGGCTACGCACCCTGAATAAGTTTTAATAAAAGCAAAATACATAAATATTTAAAAAAGGCTTTAAGCAAACATTGAATCAAATTTATGTTTCACAATTTAAAAAAAAAATAATAGATTGATTAAAATTTATTTATTGGCCAATGATAATGTTATGGAAAGAGATTTTTCTTTTTAAGATATTGCAGAGGGTTCATAATTACTAATAATGTGATAAAGATATACACAGGTACCTCACAACACCAAAATTAAGGTTAAAATTTTGATATGGTAAGCTCAAAAGCTTTCCCATCTCTGTCTTAACTTAAAACTAATACTTACAAAACAGCTACCGGTGAGTTCACTTACAAAGATTTTTACTTTTTTAGATTAAAATTTTTCTTTATTCGTTAACTAACTTCATGCATTACAGAAGAACAAAACTCAAGACTATATTTTAAACATTTGCTTTATTAAAGCAACAACTACAATGATTCATCAAATATTTAAAACATGGAATCACACCTTTAGCAAAAGATCTGTATGATAGAAGCATAATAATAAAAAAGAAATAAGGAAAATATGTATCAAGATATCTTATTTTCTAAAATATTAAAAAATAGTTCAAAAATAAAGGTTATTTTCTAAAAACAAAATCATGACTTATTAGGAAAAATTAATGGAATTTTTATTTAAAATCTAAAGAAACAATTACACAATTTATCAATAGTTAAAAAATTCTAATCAAAGTATTATTCGAATTCTTTTTTTAAAATTAATATAACATGTAATTTATTTGGCACTTTTCATAATATAAAGATATTTCATGAAAATGTATATGATAAAGTAGTATCAGAAATAGTTTTCCACTTCATTATAAATTTCCAACTTTTGTTATACTATTATTTTGAATATAATTTATTAAATAATTTATCAAAATCTTGAAATATAAACTTGTTATGAGAACACCTGAATCTAAGAAGAAAATGGCTTGAAGAACTTTTTAACAATTAAGAAAAAAAGAAAGACAATTTATTATTAATGAAATTGATAAAAACATATTAATGCAAATAGAAATTATTTTCTAGTAACGTTGTAACTCTGAACAAAGCATTATAGTTCAATTTATAGTAAAATAAAATGGAATGCAAGTACTTGTAATAAGCATGGATATGTATAACATAGCAGAATAAAAATGCAGTTTTGTAACTTATTTTTTAATTTAAAACTTTATTTGTTAATTATAGGATAGCTTTTAACTTATTTTTTAATTATAGAAACACCACAGCAAGTGCAGCTAATATATTTTTTACATAATTCAAAGGCATAAGGATAAAATCCTATTAATTGTTCTGAAATAAGACTTATTATAAATATTCTTTCTATACAGTCAAAAATATACAAACAACTTTAGCTAGTTAAATTAAGATTTATTAAACTGACATATATATTTTTTTAGCAAAGTAAAATTCTAAAATTTTCTTTAATTAAATATCAAATTATGTAAGTACTATTTACAATGACAAATATATGGATGAAATAAATCTTTTACAAACTCTAAATGGAGTTAGAAACTTTTACAAATTTTAATAAAAATTTTACACTCAATAACTCGAATGTATATTTAAAAAAAAAGTTAACATCATGTATATAACTAATGTAATTTTAATTGTATATATGAATTTATTAATTAATAAAACATTTGCTTTATAAATTGCCATTTTATTAACAAAAAGTATCTATTAAAATAAATATAATGAAAACTATATTACTTATATTTTTAAGGAAATAATAAATATAGAAATCTGATGTTTTCAATTACTTGCATTGCATTATTCTCATCTAGTGGCACATAATCAATTTTATTAACTATTCTGCAGCAGTGTTCCTCTTTCATGAAATTAATATAGTTCATAATAATTTTCTTTCAAAATCCTAACTAAGTATATAAGGAATCACTATAACATGTTTATTACAACAGAGAATAGGTTCTTAAAATAATTATGGAATGTAATTTCATGTATAATCTATCTATAAATAAGGGTAAGACTGGTTAGCTAAGATTCAAAGGCCTGCTGGAACAAAACCGTTCAACCCAGAAATTGTCAGATTGAGTCAAGATATTGATTGTTTAGTTGTGTGCAATATATCATTCCTGAAAAGTCATAGATGTATCTACTGCTTTTTTTTATTTTTATATAAATGATACTTTTACTGGAAGAAGTCAAATCGTCTGGCCTTACCCCACTAATGGGGTAATACCAGGTACACATGTTAACTTTATAGGATATTTAGAAACACTGCAAGTTCAGTGAAAAAGTAGCAAACATTTTCAGCTTATTTAAAATTTAAGAAAATCATACATGTAATTTACATATACTGTAGCCAAGGTTGTATTCCAAAAGGGTCTGAGGCTGCTGAAATTCCAACCAAATTATTTTTGGGGGCAAAACTGGGTAGAACCGGATCTTATATGGAATGTAGAGGTTACTGAAATGTTGACAAAGTAAAACAAACCTATATACACAGGCGCAATGAATTAAACAACATGCCAATATGGTAGGTTTGTATTCTCGACTTTGACTAGGAAAGTGTAATTCGGAGTTTATCCACTAGAAAAAAGAACTAATTTCCTTACAATCAAGGTACCAGGTCTTACCCCATTTTTCCTTTTTCTGAAATTGTTCATGAAACAATGGATTCAAGAAAATGTCTTGATTAAAGGTTAAATTGTTCTTCGTTAACCATTCTTATATTACATATTTATACAGGGTGCGTAGCCAAATCTTTGAATCAAAAATAAGCACTTTTTAAAAAGTTTTCAAGCACTTTACAAAAGTTTTCAAGCACTCAAAAAATTCATATTCAATCAATGATATTATTGAAAAACAAAAACTTTTTATAAACAGTTTTAGCGTTAAAAAAACCCCAAAAAGAAACGGGCGTAAATGGAAACAATCAGTACTTTCCCACATCACCGAGTGAATTCAACTTGACCCTGAACTCAGAACAAAACCTTACCCCCTACGTCAAAAAAAGTGTTAGAAGTAAAATAAAATAAACAAGAACAAGATTAAAATAATATCAAAAGAAAAACATTTCATAAGGATCTGATACTCTCTATCCGTATTAGAGCACTCGGGTTTCGGTTTCAAGTGTGCGCGCATGCGCAAGACATAACGAGGGTACGACATGAAGTCCGCGTGAATGATTACGTAGCAAACTCCCCATTTTTTGTGAAATGCATGGGATCCACCAGATATCACTGAAGGGAAGGAAAAAAATTATTCGGAAAAAAAGCACATTTATTAAAAACGCCAGCTGAAAAAAGCACATTTAAAAGCTTTTAAAAACGATATCCACAAAAAAGCACCTTTAAGTACTTTTTACAAACGCTACGCACCCTGTTATAGAATATACACAGATTTTTCCTCATTCTTATTTACTAAATTATGTGAAGAACTAAAATTACAAAAACATAACAGAATCAGGTCTACTCGAAGAGTGAGCCCAGCAGTCACCTAAAGGTACGCCGCTAAACGTTATTTTTAAATTTCTTCTAAATATAAGGTTAAGAGAGTGTCACTTGGCATCTTAGCAATTTTAGTTGGTATGAATATATATATCCCTAATCCATAGTTACTTCTTTCATGTAACTTAACAAAGCTCCATTACCTGACTTACAACATAGCCAAATCTACACATGAATATTAATTCTAAACTATTTTTTTAAACAAATATTTCTATACAGATTTCTGTAGTTGTTTAAACTGATGGGCAAAGCTATAACTAATACGACACATCACAAATTTTTCACATTATATATGCCATCAATAACAAACAGTTGCGCCACATTGAAAGAGCTAAAGAAATTAGACATAGATTGAAAGATACTGAAAATTGTATCCTATCATCTATAAGAGAATTATAACAATTTTAAATATAGTAAATAACTGTATTTCTAACAAATAGGAGATTCTTAAAGGACAGCAATTATATACAAACAGTGAAAGCTCGATTTATACGTCACAAAGCAAATAATATTTGCCAGGATGATTATGCCAAAAAGAGAATATAAAGACTACAAATACTTATTATGTAAAACGTAAATATTTACACTTCACAAGTGATTGTAAATAAATCCTTAAATGCTACATAAATTGTTAGATAGTATGATGCGACTCTTTCACGATTGTGTAACACCTTTTCGTGCAACCAACATATTTAAAACAGGTTCTTTTTTTATGTATTCCACAGCTTGTTTATGAGTCACCATCGTAAAATCGTATCCATTGACTTGTAACAGTTTATCATGCTGTTTTAGACCACATTTAGCAGCTGGGCTATTCTCATAAACTTCGATAACATAAATACCATTATCTTTATAACCTTCAGGACTTTTTCTAAAATCTTGATCAATTCCACCAGCTATTTTAAAACCACATTTCAACACCTCTCTTCCTTGCGGATCCAAGCCTGGTTCTTTAGTTAATTTTATCGGAATACTTAAGCATTCGATTGCCATACCTGGTTGATGCTCAAAGGCCATTTTAAAACATTTATTTAAATGTTACACAAAAGAAAGTTAATAAAATTTCGGAAATGTAAATCCTGACTGTTGAATACTTGTTGGGTGGAAAATGAGAAAAAGTAAACAAAACTAAGATTTCGGATTCCTATCCCATAAGTCATCAGTAAATACGGATACAGTGTAATAAAATATAAATCAATAACTAAATATATTTTTACTCTCATTTTTATTAAGAGGAGATAATTGAGTCCCTATGCTTCTAAAGAAAATTTCAAATCGATCGCTAAGTTCATTAATCAAAATTATTGAGATTGCAAGGCAGGACTGGAGAAAAATTTAAAGTTTATTTTTACTGTATGCCGAAATATTCGCACATGATTTGAGCAGGAAACTGATTGGAGAAATTTTCGACCATAAAAATATTTCACCAATCAAGTTTTCACTCACGTCTGCAAATTTTTTTCAGTGAGAACGGAAAGTAAGGGAATTATGTTCTGCTTTTCGCTTACAACGACAAAACGGTTTCTGCCATATCTTGTTTTTGCAGGCAGGCGCGAAAATTTGTATATCAAATTTTCATAATTTCGTTCCTTTAGTAAATATTGATTCAGCTAATTACATTTTTCTGACGTTGGATTTAACAAAAGTAAATGTGACATTTGAAATATTGAAGTTTTAAATGTTATTTAATTTTATTCTATTTAATTGCAAACGATTTTGTTAACTTGCTTCTTTGTTATTGTTTATTTTAATATCGCTTTTAATAATCCTGGACATTCCTTGATTATTCTTATACCCTTTTTAGATTGATTGTGTCTTTCAAATCCTTATTTTCAAACAATGTCAGCTGCACAGCAATGTGTTAATGAGGAGGAGGAATTAGATGAGGGTGGCCCTATGGCTATCCAAAAATTGGAGGTATGTTAAAAAATTACCTTAACTTATGTGATTATTGTTTGCCAATATTCATTTTATCTTTCAAGTACTTCCACTACCTTTTCGCGTGAAGGAAAACTTTCGTGAATATTGTTAATTATTTTAGAAAAAGTTAAATTTGTTAAAACTATGATAAAGAATTTGAAAAAATGCATTTTATATCCTGTTGTGTAACTCTACGACTCCATAGTCTCTAAAAATTGCCTTTGTTAATATCATTATAACTGCTATTACAAAATATTTTTTTAGTTGTTGTGGAATATAAGTGGTAAAAATATAAGTTCTCTTAGAGAGGCCTTACTTAAAACACATGTTGAGCATCATTTGAATATCATATAAACAAATTTTTTGCAATTTTAAATTCCATTTTCTCCCTTGTCACCAATCATAAGCTGCTAACTATAGATATGTCATATGCTTAAGTAAGCAAGTCGAATCACCAACTTGTTTTTGTTTGACTTGCTTTTGTTAAACTGTACTCATAGTCCTCTTTACGCCTTACCAGCAGAAATAAGCAGATCATAAATCCTCTTTCTCCTTTAGCTGCTTAATAAATATTTGAATAGCCATTCTTTTTTCTTGTAATCTAATAACTCTCATATAGTCATATTGAAATAATAAAAATATGTTTTTTAAGATAACTACTGTTGAGATTGTCATTATGCTTACTGACTTTGTTAAATAAATTAGTAAGCAAATATAAATTTTAGAATGAATTTATTTAATGAAAAGTTAATTATTATCAAATTTTTTTTTTGTCTCTTTTTATAGGGTAATGGAATTACTGCTTCAGATATTAAAAAACTTCAAGATGCTGGCTTTTATACTGTAGAATGTGTAGCATTTGCTCCTAAAAGACATCTTTTGAGCATTAAAGGAATCAGTGAAGCAAAGGCTGACAAAATATTGGTAACTTATAATTTTATATATTATTTGGATTTGAGTAAGAGTCAGACTGGGAGTACGAGACCCAGTTGGACACTTGAATAAGAAGTCTTCTTTAAAAATGAGCAATTTTCGGTTTATAATTTTTGCTGGTTTTCAATATTCAGTAACGTTTAATTTACAGTGCTTATGAAGAATTTTAAGTATTCTTCAAGCTAAATGTTATATGTTTTATTTTTTAAAATTTCTTTTAATTAACCTTGTAGATTAATAAATTTTCTACTTTAAAAAAATTTACTTACTAGCTTTTAGTAACTAACTATTGTAGTTTTAACGCAGAATTATCTATTAATTATGTAACAGAAATCGTGTGTGACTTTTTCTCTATGATTTGCAAATAAGAATTTTAAGTGTCATTTTGCCTGGTAATATTTTTCTTCCTTTTTTTTACTGTCCCCCTCCCTAGAATTGTAAATTTATTAGGAAAGATATTTATATTGCACTAGTCTAAGATGTTGATTTCTATAGTAATTTGTGACTTTGTTTTAAGGCCTCTAGTAGGGATGTACCAGGCTCCTGGCAATTATCCAGTACTTGGCCATATTTTCATTACCTGGTTCATTTCCTGCTTTAGGTAAAAAAGGACCTAGAAATTTTAAAGCCATAGGTCGTCCCAAGAACCTGTACTTTCCAAAATTTAGTAGAATCAGTAAATCATTGTTATTCTCACACACATTTTTTTGTTTTTCTGTACAAAAATTTATTATAAATGTTTAGTTTTTGTATTTGAATTAAAATTTGCTTTATACATCCTTTTAAATTGTCTTTTCTTAGACGGAGGCTTTAAAACTTGTACCAATGGGATTTACAACTGCCACTGAATATCACAGAAAGCGATCTGAAATAATCCAAATCACAACAGGTTCAAAAGAATTGGATAAATTGTTGGGAGGTAACTTATCTCTTATATCTTATGATACACTGAAAAGTCCTAATAATTCACAATCTGCTTAACTTATGGTAGAATTCTTATAAAGAGAATTCTGACAAACAACTCTAAAACTATTCAGAATAAGATCGTAGAAACAAATGGTCAAAAAATCAGCTACCATACTTGGTGATATTTCTTTTAAATCTTTTAATTTATATTTCCTTTCTTATTTCATGCCAAATTCATGTCGGCTATTTTGAGCTGTGTTTCGTTTTCTTTTTTACCAATCAAGGGACAGCTATCTATACCTTAGCTGTGTACCTAAATTACATTTGCAAAATTTTCTACAAGGACTAACTTCTTAAAAAGATATATTTCATTACATCAGAAAATAAAACTTCATTTGTATACATATGATTTTGAGATTCCAAGTAATAAAGATATTCGGTTATTGTGCTCCTTGTTATACTTTGGTTTAAAAAAAAAAATTTTTTTTAAAATTTTTGTTTTCTAATCACATAGTATTTGTATCGTAAAACTCTGAACTGCATTTAGAAAAAGTAATGCAAGACTGAAGCGTTATCATTCATGCTTTAGAAGAATAAACAGAACAGTGTTTACCATTATTAAAAATGAATATGTAATACTACAAAACAAAATTAAGATTTCCTTTCTCGTAGTAATTAATATCTTGTAAAAAAAATTGATAAAAAGAACATGATTTATAGATTCTATTTATGTCTGAAGATATTGTTAGGAAAGAAAACCATATGTATATTGTGTACTTTAGTAGTCTTGGATATTGTGTTAAATATTAAAGAATAACATAATCCTCTAATACTCTATATCGCTCAACAAAATACGATTATTAAAAGAAAAAGACCTGGAACATGTATATTTTTAGATTATTGAGTTTTTCATTTAAATGCCTTCTTTGTGCCATGTGACAATCAGTTTAGTTTAAATTGTAATTATACAGAATGTCATAGCAGAGTTCTCCCTAGGAATAAAAAAGGGCAAGGTGCTTCCTCATCGAAAATGTCATTTTGAGTTTTGAAAGGGTACTCACTTAATACCGTAAAAATGTATCAAAATGTGTAATATTTTACAATGTTCTCCCTAAGCGTTTATTAAAGGCGACCCCTCCCAGGGTTTCCGCTACGGTAGCTTTTTTCGCAAAATGCGAAAAGACCCCTCAAAAATGCTAAAATTCAACAATGCATTTTCGCATTTTTGCTAAAGGATTTTACTAAATTCCATTAAAAAAAAAGTTTCCGCGAAAAACCATGACGCTAACATCCATGAAAAAACTTGATCAAACAAGAAGGAGAAAAAATCTAAATATCTTTCGCAAGAAGAACCATGACGCTAGCGTTATGACTGGTGTTGGAGCGGTGGTTGCTGCTCTGTTCAAAAACCAAAATCCGCATTTAATTTCAGTACATTGTGTGGCACATAGGCTAGCATTAGCCGTGAGCCAAGCAGCGTCTGAGAATGCTTACCTGGTAAAGTTTCAGGACATAATAAAAAGAATTCACTCTTATTTTGAATGCTCCCCTGCAAATACCAGGCGATTGAAGAATGTTCAAGATATCCTTGAACAAAAATCAAGGAAATTCATAAAGTTATCAACAACTCGGTGGTTGTCTTTGGGGAATTCAGTTACAGCTCTGGATTGCAACTGGCAAGCTCTTGTTAGTGTTTTAATGGAAGACAAACGTCCTGTTGCTCAAGGGTTGTTAAAAAATATAACTACTTTTTTGTTTTTAGCAACCACTGCCATCATGAATGATATCATGTTCAACATTAATAAATTAAGCCTCATATTTCAAAAATCTAATTTAAATTTTGAATATGTTCAATCAAGTGTGAAGGCTTGTATTTCAAGTTTAGAAGAAATAAAAAATGGCACCGGCACTCATTATATGAGTTTTTTAGATGATGTGCCTAAGAAGGAAAGTGAAAAATTTGAGTTTCAGGGCCATATAATTTTAGATGGACTGAAACAGAGGGAAAGATTCCGTAATTTGATGCACAATTTTTTAAACTGTATCATTGAAAATATTACTGATAGATTGGGAGATTTGGATAAAATCGAAATGTTCAATATATTTATACCTAGCAGGATGCCCCATAGTTCGGAAGAATTACAGCATTATGGTGTAAAGGAAATCCGTTGCATTTTCAATTTGTTTTCGGAATCTCCCAGAAAAGATTTTCAGTTTATAGAAACTGAATTACTTTGTGAATGGGGATTATTTAAACACATCTTAATGCAACGATGTAAAAACATGTCATTTAATGAATTACTTTTATTTTTATATACCAATGATGTGTCTGAACTTAATAACTTCTGTTATAAAGTATTGTGCAACAATACCAATGCACACTGTTGACTGTGAAAGGGGCTTTAGCTGCCTTAATTTGATTAAAACTAATATTCGAAACAGGTTGTTAATCAACCATGTAAACAATTTGTTAATGATTAATATTGAGGGCCCTGAAAGTGCATTTAACTTTCAAGAAGCATTTGTAAAATGGGCAAGCATGAAAGAAAGGAAGATTGTTAATTATAAACCAAAATGTTTTGATAAATAATAAATGTGTTTTTTTTTTTTTGTTATAGGTATTCTTTTTGATATTCTTGTACATTAAGCTATTNATACCTAGCTTAAAATAGGCCTTGTGCAAAATTCAAATCTGACGTTTTTATGAATCATGAATTTTATTCTTGACTTGATGCCAATCACCCTTGCTTTTTTTATACTTAGATCCATTGCTCTCTTGATTTCAGAAAGTGAAGTCTTATTTTTCAGTACTGCTATTATCGACTGTTAACTAACTATTATCGTCAAAACATTTTAGTTCAAAATGTAAAATTTTAGTCTATCTTTTACTAAAATTTAAGTCCTTGAGAATTTTATAACAAATCTTAAAAAGTCCTTGAAAAGTACTTGAATTTTATTTCTAAAGTAGAGCATGAACCCTGTTCATGCTTTGGAAAAATAAACAGAACAGTTTTTACCATTATTAAAACTGAATATGTTATACTACGAAACAAAGTTGAGATTTCCTTTCTCTTAGTAATTAATTTCTTGTAAAAAATTGGTAAAAAAAACATGATTTATAGATTCTGTTAATGTCTGAAGATATTGTTAGAAAAGAAAACCATATGTATATTGTGTAGTTTAATAGTCTTGAATATTGTGTTAAATATTAAAGAATAACATAATCCTCTAATATTCCGTATCACTCAACGAAATATGATAATCAAAAGAAAAAAACTGGAACATGTTCATTTTTAGATGATTGAGTTTTTCATTTAAATGCCTTTGTGCCATGTGATAATCAGTTTAGTTTAAATTTTAATTATACAGAATGTCATAGCAGAATTCTCCTTAGAAATAAAAAAGGGCAAGGTGCTTCCTCATAGAAAAGGTCATTTTAAGTTTTGAAAGGGCACTCACTTAACACAGTAAAAATGTATCAAAATGTGTAATATTTTACAGTGTTCTCCCTAAGCGTTTTTTAAAGGCTGCGCCTCCTGCTTGTCCTTTGATCCGAATAAATGTGCCGTCTTCATACTTTGGGTAAAAAATAAGCCGTCAACCCTTAAAAACGCTGCCTTTTTTTTAAAAAAATTCAGATTCCATTTTGAAAATAATTATTCAATGCTTAAATAATAATTACACACTGGTAAAATTATCTGTGTTTATGGGTTTAATTCTGATTCCTAATCTTTTTTTTTTTTTAAATTTTTTTGGGACTATTAATGATAAATTAAATGCTTAAGTAAATACCTTTTTTTTTAAAAAAAAGCACATTTTCAGTTTAAATTATCTTAAAAAACTTTCCCCTTTGTTTATCAATGAATCATTTTTTGTTAGTTTACTTTTTTGAAAAAATATATGCACTGAGATTTCCTTTTAGCATGCATTTAATTATTTTAATAGACAACAAAATTTTCCTTTATTTTGATAATGAGAGAGAATTACTTTTCGAATTGTACACATAAAATAATATGAGAGGGTAATTTAAAAATAGTTGAAGATAAAATTCAGTTATTTCATAATATTACACATTTTCATAAATTAAGTGAACGCCTTTTCAAAACTCAAAGTGACTTTTTCAGAGTGCCTTGCCCTTTTTTATTCCTAGGAACAACTCTGTATTGTATAATAAGTAATATCATGCAATTTTTAAATTACCTTTTAAACTATTTTATGTGTATATTTCAAAAAGTAATTCTCACTCTTTTTCAAAATAAGAGAAAAATTTGTAGTTTATAAAAAATATTTAAAGGCATGCTGAAAGACAATCTCTGTGCATAAATGTTTCCAAAAGAAGTAAACTAAAAAAAATTATTAATTGATAAACAACTTGAAAGCTTTTTTGCTATAATGTAAGCTTAAAATTATGAGTAAATACACATTTAAATGTGCAATTGAAAAAAAAATAATAAAATTGCCTAAAAAATTTATAAATTTACTCTCTTCCCCCTGAAAAAAGAGAAACATATTGGCATTAAACAGTTGAGAATAATCCTAACAAAATAACTATTCGTAATAGTAAATGGAATTAAACGCATAGTTTTACCTGTGTGTAAGTATTATTTACAGTGAATTACGTTTTTAAGAGAGGGTACATTTATATTGATCAAAGGGCAGGCAGTGCGGGCTGCCCTTCTGAAAAGGCTTGGGAGAACACTGTCTCATGGTTCACTTGTTTTAATGGGACTTTGCTTTATTTCTTGTTATAAAATTTAAAATTACATATAGCTATTTTGTATTTAAAATATATTATTTTTCTTGACCTAGGTGGTATAGAGACGGGTTCAATTACAGAAATATTTGGTGAGTTTCGCACTGGTAAAACTCAACTATGCCATACGCTAGCTGTCACTTGTCAGGTAAATTGCATTTCTATTTTATTTGTACTCATTAATGTATTCATGTACTCATTAATTTATTTATTTTGTTGGAGTAAGAACTAAAATCTAAAATTTTGATGTAGACTTCTTAAAATATGGAATAAAGATTTTTTATTTTTAGCTTCCTATTGATTACAATGGTGGGGAAGGAAAAAGTATTTATATTGATACGGAAAGCGGTTTCAGACCTGAAAGGCTAGTAGCTGTTTGTGATAGGTAAGTTCTAGTGTTCAGGAATAATGATATGCTTAAAATCTAAAATAAACGTATTATTTCCTGAAAGATGCTGTGTAATTCTAATTAGACATTCTGTAGGATAAATGGGATATTCAAAATTTTCTAATAATTGCAAATTTATTGCTTTAATTTTAAAAGGTTTAGATTGTGAAAAATATAATCACTAAAATCTTTATGAATAGTTATTAGGAATAAAATATTATGAATTAATGTAAAGGGAGGGTTTTTTTCTACCTTTGTTTCCTTGGTAACAATGTGACAGGCAGAAATGCTACTCTTTTTATTTGCCCAGAAGTTAGGGAATACTGGTTTAAAAAAATTCTAATTTTTTTAAATTTTAGAAGTAAAAAAAATCTTTCTTTAGATAGATTTTTTGCGCAATTTACTGCTTGTGGGAATATTTAAATAAATATTACTAATACATAATGAAGTGGGCCTCATTTATGGTGATTAGTTTAAAGTTTTTTTCGTTCTAAAATTTTAAGTTTCTTTTTTATTCAGAATTCCTTTTTTAAATCAATCAACAATCAATAAATTACTAGTCTATTATGATTCAAAAGTATCAGTTAATATAATAAAAAACATAAAAAATCAAGTTCATTAATGTTAATCATAAATTAAATGGAAAATATTGCAGACCATTTATAGTTAGTGCAATAAAATATTTATATTTTCATGTCAATAAAAATGCCCAAAATTCCCTATATGTAAAATATTTAGCATATTATGCAAAGTTATCCTGAAATTTATATTCTTTCATTAAATCTACTGGATTTTTTTCCTATCCATGTGAGCAGCTATGATAATTTTATAATAATAATATAATATTAATCTTATAAAATCATAAGAATGAATGAGGGAAAATCAAGATTTGTGGATACCATGGTAACGAAGGAACTCTCATTTGCTTGAAATGCCGATTTTGTTTACAAATACTATAGTAAGGTAAAAACTCAATACAACTATAAATAATTTTTAAGCTTTGGGCGAAAAAATTATTATTCAAGAATTACTAGTTTACTTAAAATCTGTCTATTTAAAGCTATAAAAGATTTATAAAGTATTAGGAATTTAATATGTTTAAGGTTAGAACATAGTATTGTTTTACTAAGTGTGATCTAGATTTATAATTATATCAATAGAATAAATCCAGCATGCTCATAATGCTACTATTGTAAGTAGTGATTAGTGTTTACATATTCAACTGTGAAAATTTATTTAAAATTGTCTATTTTTTATCATGTAACCTAATTTCATAATTACAGTAGAGTATTGATAATTCAAGTTCTGAACTGTTCAAGTTTCCCATAAATCAGAGCTAGTGAAAAAAAAGTCAGTCTTGTTCCCAAATAATGACCAACGCACACACAACACGTGGAGTGATTACTACAATTGACTTTAAGGCAATTACAGTGACTGAATGTTGAAAGACAATATTGTGTGTTAAACACTGAAGCATGCAAAAAGTGTGTTTAAACAAAAAACTTTAAGACAATTATTTTAAATTACAATTAATCCGATGTAGTAATATAATGAATATAGTAACTTGGTATAATGTCAAATGTACTGTGATCCTTTAATGTAAGTAAATTTTCTTTAAATATAATATATTTTTCAATTAAATACTAGAATTTATTTGTTTCCATTCATTTAAGTATTTATTAAATTTAGAATTTTAGATAATTCAGAAGTTCGAGGCATGCTCTGTCTCGTCCACCTTTAATCATAGAGATTCTACTGTATCCGAAATTAATTCAGAAGAAATAGCTTCAAAATTTATTAGTTACTGGTGTTTAAAGACATTTTTTTAAAAATAAAATTTACTGTTTTAGGTATCAGTTGTCTAAGGAAGCTGTTTTAGAAAATGTTGTTTGTGCTAGAGCTCATAATACTGATCATCAAATGAAATTGGTATTGCTTGCTGCTGCAATGATGACAGAATCAAGGTAAATACATTTCACTTGTTATGTTGAAAAAAAGTTTTTTTAATTGTTTTTATTATAATTCTTTATTTTTAGTGTCTACATAAAATATTCACAAATTATGTATGTAAATTAATGTGAATTAAATAGTGACAAAATATATATTAAGAATACTTTCATATAGTCTTTCATTGAATGATTAAGCTCTCCTCACTTAATTTTTAAAACTTTTCTCATATAATTTATTTGTAAATTGTTTCAGTTATTTATCATTGGTCTTATGAATAAAAAATTTTTTTGTAAAAGCTGGGTGTTTCTCTATATTTGAATTGTATATTTCATGGCTACATTAAATTTTTGCTAGCTTCCTTATGAGTATTTCTGCTATAATTGTAAAAAAAAAAAAATTTTTATTCATATTTGAAGAATTTGTAGTTAGATAGTGATAAACTAATCTGTTTCAAAGGAAGACAATTTTACTTCCAGCTCTTTAATATTGTTTCCAGAAAAGTATTTTAAAAGTTTCAAGAATTTCCATTAGATAATGGCACACTGCATGAAAACCGTTATTACCAGCATGAAAACCGTTATTACCAGTATGAAAACCGTCGAATTTTACCCCTAAAATGCTACTGATCAATTTGACAGTATGGTTAAAAAAAGTTAAATAAGTTATTCATGTTTTAAAATTTCTTTCAGGTATGCACTGCTAATTGTTGACAGTGCAACTTCATTATACAGAACTGATTTCGTTGGCAGAGGAGAGCTGGCTGAAAGACAGCAACACTTAGCGAAATTCATGAGACTATTACAACGAGTAGCTGATGTGGTATGTGATTTTATAGTAAATTTTTTTTTATTGTTCTATTTGTGGGATGTTGCCGTAATAATTCTGTGTCGGGCGTTCATCAGGAGTGATTACAAACTACACTCATGAGACAATGTTTTCCTTACGGGAGAAGTCAGTTACTACTGAACTTCTTTCCATCTACCTGTAAAATATTTTATACAAGATGCTCAGTAGCTTGTAATTGGTCGATGACGCCGAATCTCATTGTTTAAAAAGCCGAGACTTAATCAGAACTCTCTCACTTAGTTTTGTTATAGCCACTATGAAAGATATTTGAAGTTAAGTCTGTATTCTGGTATGAGACTTAGGTGTAGTTAATATTATAATATTTTTCTTTCCTGAAATAATTTGTACTTTATTCACATTTCACAATCGGCAAATAAATATGTCTTTCTGAAAAAGCTGTTTTTCCTGCGTTCTGCAACTACATAAATTCATTCTGCTATTTATCTATCTGTTTATTTAATGGTGTTGCTAAGTAAAAGTGGCCCTTACCCATTAAACATTTATTCCACCTTTACCTGGCACCCTCTTTTTTCTTTGTTCTCATTCACGTTCAATAACTACTTTTTTTTATATATAGATTTGTTAGAGGAAAGTTCTACTTCAAATAAACTTTGAGAAAAAAATTCTATAATAACTTTGGTTAGTTTTAACTCCTTAGTTTTTCAGTTAAAACATCTTTGATACCAAAAATTTGAAAATTACAAAAAGTAGAAATGTTGGGTCAAAATTCCTGAAAAAAATCATGAAGTAAGTGAATTATAAATTCATTCATGAAACTGTTAGTTTATGCAATGAATTTATTAATAAACTTTGTATTAACTCTGTTTTTCGAAGCTGTCGCCAATTAAAATGAAAAAGACATAGTTTAAGTGAACTCTTGAAGCAATGCGATGATTTGAGACTATATATATAATCTTGCTGTGAGGAATTCTAGGCTTCAGAACAGGGAAATAACTTATATATTTTAAAAGTAATTAAACTTTTTTAAAAATTGCCAATTTGGCGACATTCCTCCCAGTGATTTTGATGAAAGTCATCAAAATCACTGCCTTACGCTCGGTTTTTGCAAATTTTTGTGAGCCCCGGATAATGCAGAGTTGAAATAAGTTTTTAAATAATAAAAGATTAGAACACTAACACCTTTCATTTTCTCAATACAGTGGCTTTTCTCCATATTGACGTTTTGCTCCCTTTTCTAAATGAGCGTTGACAGCCCTGGCTTTAGATTGGCTAAACTTGACCTAGCAGTTGCAAACTCACAGTAGTTATAAAAATAGTATATTATTTGCAAAAAGAGCATCATTTCATATTACGAGAGAGCCTTCAAAATAACAGTCTTAAAACATAAATAAAAATTTAAACGAAACATTAAGTTGTAAAAAAATGTTATTCGTAATATGAAATTAAAAGTATTGCTCTTCTAAGAGTTTAGTACTTAATGTTGTATTTTTTTTTTTTTTTTTACTAAAATGTTAATAGATTATTATTTAAGGTTTAAAAAAAGCATGCAACATTAGTTTCACCTGATAAAATTGATTTTTTTTTCTTCTTCAATAGTTTGGTGTAGCTGTTGTTATAACAAATCAAGTGGTTGCTCAGGTAGATGGAGCTGCTATGTTTTCTGCTGATCCTAAAAAGCCAATTGGTGGACACATTATTGCTCATGCATCAACTACCAGGTGAGTTAATAATAACAATCAAATTGTTAGTTTTTGATGTTCTTGGTTATATTCCTCTGTCCTTTTTTTTTCCTTTCTCAATATCTGTAGCTGCCAACTCTGTTAGATTTTCCTATTTTTACATTAATTTCCTCATTAATTAGCATAGCTTAGATCTTGCCAGTTGTTCCCAGCATTTTTTAAAATTCAGATTTATTTTTTATGAAGGAATGTTATTTTTATTTATTCCTTTTGATGTCAATTATAAATGGAAAATATGGACCATAATTCAAATTTTGTATATATATATTATATATAAAGGGTGATTCATAAAAGATGGGCAAAATTTTAGGAAGTGATAGTACACACCCAAGCAAGCAATTTTTTACCAAAGAATGCATGGTTGAAAACAAAACCCTAAACCGTTAGAGGAAGTCAAAAGTTATGTTCTTATATGATGCAAAAACACACAAAGAACGATGAAGTTAAGTTATAAAAGCAAATGTAATGGCATGTGATTAAAATAAGCGTTCGAAGCAGTGGCTGGCAACGGCTAAGCATGCAGTACAATAGTGAAGAAAAGATTGGCAAACATTCTGAAACACACCAGGCATATCGGGAACTTCCCCTGCAGCGGCCGAAAACTTGGAGACAAGTTCTTCTGCAGATTCAATGGGAGTCTCATGCGTAAGAGCCTTTAGCTGCCCCCACAGAGAGAAATCGAGCCATGAAAGATCTGGCGAGGGCGGTGGCCAAGCTAAAGGCTCTTCTTCCCATAACATGCAAATAATAACTCGCAGCGAGGTAATTCATAGCAGGAATGGAGCTTTCTCGTTTGCATGAAACAACTTTCCAAATGCGCCGGCTCCTTTGCGTTTTGTTTTCGACCATGCGATCTTTGATAAAAATGTTTGCTTGGGTGTGTACTATCACTTCCTAAAATTTTGCCCATCTTTTATGAATCACCTTGTATATATACATTTGGAATTAATTTTTAAGCAAATTAATTATTAAAGTTAAATTAAAAAATTGATTTTTCCAAAAATAACTTAATCTTTTTTTACTACTGTTTTACTAGAAAAAATGAAGAGGAACAATTATGGTTAATATGGTAGCTTTTGCTGCCTTTACTGCACTTATTGTGAAATTTTTCATCCTATCACTTTTATTTTTACAGTTCTTGTTTGTATTATATAGAATGATTTTTATTGTTCTCTAACTATCGCCAAATCTGCAAGTTAAAATTATATTATCATATTTTTATACTTTAATGACATGTGGTAGAATAATAACTTTATTTTGTTAGGTTGTACTTAAGAAAAGGCAGAGGTGAAACAAGAATTTGTAAGATATATGATTCACCTTGTCTGCCTGAAGCTGAGGCAATGTTTGCTATCAATCCTGATGGAATTGGTGATGCAAAGGACTAAGCTAATTTTTTTTTCAATGCCTTTGTTATTCAATTGAGGAATTGGTACAATTTACTATCAACCCTGATGGAATCGATGATACAAAGGACTAAAGTAATTATTCAATGCCTTTGTTATTCAATTCGTGAAGAAGTCATATTTGTTATCCATCCTGATGAAATCTGTGTTGCAAAAGACTAGAGTAAAGGAAATTGGTGATGCAATGAACTAAAATATTTGTATTCAGTACCTTTATTTTTTTTTATTGAAAAAAGGCCATGATTGCCATCAATCCTAAGGGAATATGCAGAGGCTTTGTGAACCATCCTTCCTTTTGGAATTTATGACACTGGACTAGGAAACGAAAGTTCTAGGCTTTAGGGGTTATTCCATATCTTGTAAATTTTTTTATCATTTATTTGATGTTTAAACATATTTATTCATCACATTATGTATTTGTCTTTCTTATTATGCAAAATTATTTTTTAAGAGAAAAATATTATATTTCTTATAATAAATTATTTTACTACAAAATGTAGTAACTCTTATATTTCACTATTGCAAGTTTTCCAATTTTTCTTTTATTAAACTAGGTTTCCCTTAAGTTATTGATTCTACACACAGATTGTAAGTCTTTTGGATTTAATTTCCAAAGTTTTCCTCATAGCGCAAAACTTGTTTTAATATCATTTAAATATTAAGACTTCGGCTGCCATCATTAGATTATGGTACAGATAAAAAAAATATATATATATTTTGTGCCGCAAACTAGTGCAACTTTTTTTTTTTTTTTTAGGAAACTATTAATTTGAAAATTTACATTGAAATTTAATATGAGGCTGTTTAAAGTTTTTAATAATTTTCCTTTTAAAATTTGTTGCTGACACTGCTGTGTTAATAAGCTTCGATTAGCAAAATTACTTTAGTACTTGGTGCGCAATAAATTACAGCAATCTTCAGATGACATTAAACTTTTTCCTATTTTTCAGAGTGTTAACTAAAAACAAAGTGAAAGTTAAATTAACATGAACAACAAAACAGGAAGGTTAAATTAACATGAAGATTCAACCAAATCCTTGTTTTGAAACAATTTTCACAATCCCATTTTATTTTAATATTGAAGATTTATTTCTGAATCTTAAAGAATACAATTAAAAGGTCATCATCCTAAAAATGCATAAAAAAGCTGTGAAGAATATTCATAATAACGCTAAAATTATGTCAAATTCAGCTTTGATGTTAGCTTTAGACTCCCATTTTCATACTTATTCACAAATTAACATCAATGTATTGTATCATAATTAACGATAAAATACCATAATTGATAAATTTGTTTTCTCTATTTAGGCAACTTGTGTTGACATTTGGCAAAAAGCTTCTGTTTAAATTTCACTGGGCTCCTATGTGTCTGGGAAAACCTGGAATTTTTATTTTGACTCTGAAAAGCAGGGAAAATTACTAATTTTTTTTTTAAACCTAGAAAACTCCTATATTTTATACCTGGAAAAGAACCAGTCTCAGTATTGTCAGTAGCAGTAATCAGTCATTGAGATTCGAGTTACGTAATTCTGACATCTAAAACAATTATTTGTTATAAAAATTTCACATTTTAGTAAAACTTCCATGTTTCTATCTTCATTCAATGATATTTCTTTGCTCACAAAATCTAATATTAATATTGCAAATAAAAAAATCAAATGTGTCTGATAAAAAAATAACATGTTATAGATAAAACATGGCTTGGATTTTCATTGAAATTTTCCTACATACCTGGAAAAGTCAGGAGTTTTTTTTTCCTGTAATTGTGTGGGAACCCTATTTCAGCACTCCAGATACTCAGGAAAATGTCAAAATTTCTATTAGCAAATAAATGGCAACATAAATTCTTATTGTATATCTTCGGTAACTTGCCTTGTCCTTCAGCACTGTGCTACAATTGCAAATTAAGCATTTTAGTTTGCCAGAAAGTAATCAGTGTTGATTGTTAATTATCTTTCATTAGCATTAAATTTAGCTTGTAATGAACATTTTAAACTTATATCGTCATTATGCACGGATAAAAAATATAAGCAATAGCTGGAAAGTGGTCAAGTCAAAGTTTGAATATAAATTTTGATCCCTTTGTGCTAATATGCAATCAAACAATGAGTCAATGATTAAAATTTCTGTCATCGTCTAGCAGAGATTCAGTTACAGCTTAAACCTTGCGGAATTTTTTTTGGGGGGAGAATTTTGATGGAGGAAAATTTTTATTTGGCTTTGAGTTCTATCTGTTGAGTTTAGAGGCCAAGTAACTTATATTGTCATCAGGCATGTAACTCCAGTTGAAATTGGATTACTTAACCTAATAGAAATTTCAGTTGATAACTTTTAAGACTTACATTGTATGCAAACACAGAGGTGCGGTTGCCTAATTCAAGCTTTTTAGCTATTCAAATTTTAACAAACGATTAATTCAATTTAGTGATAAATAATGTCTTTAGTGGTCAGGAAAACATTGAAATTTGTATTGTCATCGTACACAGACTCCAGTTTATATTTCATCATTTAAGCTGGTCGAAATATGTATTTATTAATCATAATATATATTGTTTGTTAGTAATCTGATAAGTTCTGCTCGTAGCAGTCAAACGGTTAAAACTTCTGATGCCATCCAGCATAGAACTTCAGTTAAAATATTAGTGTTTCAGTTAGTCTTAAATTCGTGAGAATTTTGATTCAGGATAATATCGGGATAAATTTTTGCTTACAGCTGTCAGGAAACGGTGATATTGGGTAAAACTTATATGGTTATACAGCACTTTAATCCGAATTCTATTTTAAATTTCAGTGCTCTGGCAAGTCTTAAAATGCTTGAAATTTTAATAATTTTATCTTACTTAAGGCATCTCAAATAAGATCAATGAGTTTGCGATGGTAATTAACATGTGCCAAACTTATAAAAGCTAAAAGACAATTTTTGCGTTATACCATCTAAATGATTCATCGTAGGCAACATTTTGCGTTCACCAAAATTCATGAGCATTGAATCAGTAATCTCAAGTGAACATATTTATCCACTTTGGCTGAAAAAAGCATTATGCTCACTTTTAAATGCCTATGACTCAAAAAAGTCTCTCCAAATGGAAAATATTGAAGTTATCAAATTTTGCTGTTAGGATGCACTTAATTTTTAAATTTGCTTAATTCTTTCCATGGACACGAGGGGAAAAAAAAGCCACAACGGTGTTTTTCCCTGAGGATCAAATTGCTACTTTATTAAATTGTTCAATTTAATTCTCCACATTTTTTAAAGTAGAGCTGAGATGGTTAGGGGTGGGAAAAAGAGTAGAATCTTGATGTTTGAATAGTTTACTGTTACTCAGCATGAACAATGTTAAAACAGGGTTTGTATAATTAAGGTTGTTCTTGGAAGGCTTTGTCGTCATATGAAATGATGCTTTTTTGCGAATAATACACTATTTTCTTAACCGCTGTGAATTTGCAACATATCTCACGACCGTTGGGCAAGATTAGCCTATCTAAAGCTAGCACTGTCTATACTTATTCTGATAATGGCGCAATTTCATGTAAATGAAACAGGTTATGGTGTAATTTTTTTTAATGTTTAAAAACTACTCCACTGCTGGATTATGTATGTGTGTTCATAAAAAACTTGCCATAACCAAATAGTTATGACACAAAAGACACACATGAATGATTTCTTACGTAGTAAAATTATCGGCCGCCTGGAATGTTGGCTTATTCGGACGGAAGTATCCATGAAATTTGGAATTGCCTGAATTATCATCTCTAGACTTTGGCAACGATTTCAAGATGATGCAGACGTTACAGTACTGATCATCCCTCAGATACAACGCCGAATAAAGACCAAAGTCTACGGAATTGGACATTAATAGCCGTAAGCCCTAAGTTGGGTCGGCTGTTCAACGACGGATATAAAAGATCAGCTCGATAATTTGATGTTCAGCATGTCTAGGTTCTGTACGGACTGTATATCATCGCATGGGAGGCATGCAATGTATTGAAAATTATAACAACTAAGTAATATTAGGATTTTTCAAGGGCATATTTTTTATAATTGGTCCTGGGGGTAAAAATCGTAGTTTTTATGAATGGTATCATACAAACGCCATCTTTTTCAGTCTTTATCTTTTGTTTAATAAATAGGCTTTATGAATAAGTCACTTAGTTTTGTTTCTGATCTTTTATCTGCAATAACTGACATGACATTATCCTTAATTTAGGGACTTGAGTGTATTAATACTTTATTTTGAACGGCTGGGGCTCAGGATATAGAGTGTTCACCTCCAATAAAGTGACCCAGGTGAAACCCAGCAGTGGCTGGTTGGTACTGCTCCTGGCTCGCACCGACCACAGTGCTGAGAAGGAAAGTACCCTCAGAGGTAGACAGATGATAGATTGGAATCCCCTTGCCGTCGGACTAACCATTGGAGAATTTCCTGGTTGTCTTCTCAATGTTAGACAAATGGGGGTTAGTTCCTTCAAAAAGTCTCCCATGAAAGCTAGTTTATCCCAATTTTTGATCCAGGACTTCCTTTGTCTTCTGGGTTGGGTTCAGAATTACATAGCTACGGAAACATTGTTCGTAAACTCAGAACTGCATTGCTGTTCACCACGGGTTATAAAATGTAATAAAGTATCTTATTTTGCTTGTTGCCACAACAATTAGTTTTGTACTAGGACTAAGCCACAGTCAAATTGACCAAAATTCTTAATATAGCATTTATCAAGCATCACTGGCTGCGGTCAGTGTGCGGGTGGGTGACCACTTGGATCAGGCTGCGTAGGGACCGAGGGTGAGCGGTATTGGTCCTCGTTAAACTGTGCTACCGTAAAGTGCTCGACTTCACGCGCAGGTCGTCGGGCTACCGAAGTGGGGGTGCCATCCCCTCCGCAGAGGATCAAAATTGTGATGGCATGTCTTCGGTTCATCCTCCGGGATGTATCCCAGACCGTCGCCAATAGCCCATTGTGCAGCTCTAGTGCGACGTAAATGAACAAATCAATCAATCAATCAATTTCAAATAGAAATTTAAAATTTTTAATATTTCCTCCACGGTTGGTAACTAAATTTATTTTTTAGTGTAAAAAATTTATTTTACTTTGATAAAACGAGATTTTTAAACATCCAACTGTGCTAAATTCAAAGCAAGAAACGAACGATGCACGTCATTTAAGTAAAGAGATAAAACAATTTTATAAGCTGTTTCTGCAAAGAAACTAAACTGAGAAAGAAACAAAACAAATGCGCATTTTGTGTTAAATTATTGATTAATTTAACACAGGGCGACTAAAAATTATCTTTAACACTTTGACGTANAAAAAGTCTCCCATGAAAGCTAGTTTATCCCAATTTTTGATCCAGGACTTCCTTTGTCTTCTGGGTTGGGTTCAGAATTACATAGCTACGGAAACATTGTTCGTAAACTCAGAACTGCATCGCTGTTCACCACAGGTTATAAAATAAAGTACCTTATTTTGCTTGTCACCACAGCAATTAGTTTTGTACTAGGGTTAAGCCACAGTCAGATT